ATTTAAAGTGTATGTTTGTTTACCTTGTCAATACCCTTTGGTATCTTGAGTGTTGTGTCAGAGGATTCGTACGCGTGTTCCCGTGTTTGGTGTGTGCGTGTGTGTGTGTGGTGTGTGTGTGTGGTGTGTGTGTGTGTGGTGTGTGTGTGTGTGTGTGGTGTGTGTGTGTGGTGTGTGTGTGTGGTGTGTGTGGTGTGTGTGTGTGTGTGTGTGTGGTGTGTGTGTGTGTGTGTGTGTGTGTGTGTGTGTGTGTGTGTGTGTGTGTGTGTGTGTGTGTGTGTGTGTGTGGGGGGGGGGGGGGGGGGGGGGGTTAGGGTTGGGGGGTGATATGGAATGGGGAGGATGATTAGGGGAGGGGGGCGGGTGATTAGGGGACGGGGGGGTGATTAGGGGTCGAGCTTTGGTCCCGCCTCTCAACCGTCAATCAACTGGTGTACAGATTCCTGCGCCTATTAGGCTCTTATCATATCTACATTTGAACTGTGTATGGAGTCAGCCTCCACCACATCACTGCCTAATGCATTCCATTTCTTCACTACTTTGACACTAAAAAGGTCTTTCTAATGTCTCTATGGCTCATTTGGGTACTCAGATTCCACCTTTGTTCCCATGTGCGTGTGCCCCTTGTGTGTCTGGAACTGTAATCGTTAATCGGGCGAGTGAGAAATTATTCCTTGTTAATGTATTATCCCTTTTCCTGTGTTTGTAATGTAAGGCGCGAACTTTGGGTGTTTCTTGAGTCCCGCCAATGCAAAAATATGGTACCGGCTCCACGTGGTCACTCTTTTGTTTGAAGTGTTTATAAATGCAGATTGGTTTTACATCCCTGGTTTAAAGTACATAGTTATATTATAAGCAAGTAAAGACGGGTTTCGTGAGGTCATACTCTAGAGTACAGCTTACCAGTTCGGGACCCTTACAATAGAATTCTATTACACTTGTGAGGCAAAATTTGCCATCCTTGAACCCATGTTGTAGGTGTGTCACGAAGTCCCTCGTCTCACGATTTGCTACTAGGTTTTTTCTCACGATCTTCTCCCTCACGTTGCATGGTATACAAGTTAGGGACACTGGTCTGTAGTTCAGTGCCTCCTGCCTGTCACCCTTTTTATATATTGGGACTACATTACCTGTCTTCCATATTTCTGGTAGGTCTTCTGTCTCCAGTGACTTACTATACACCATGGAGAGTGGCAAGCAAAGTGCTTCCACACACACTTTTAGTACCCATGGTGAGATTCCATCCGGTTCAGCAGCCACTTTCTCTCGTCCAGATCCAACAGACGCCTCTTAACCCCTAAATTTTGAACCTTTTCAATGCTGCCTGGGTTACTGCCACCTCTCCTAGTTTACAGACTTCTCGCTCTGTTGTAAAGATCTCTAATTTCTTGTGTTAATCTTCACACACCTCATTCTCTGTGTACCTGTCTTCACCCATTCTCAGTTTCATCACCTGTTCTTTCATTGTTGTTTTCCTCCTGATGCGACTATGGAGCAGTTTTGGTTCGCTCTTTAGGTTTTATTGGCTATCCCATTTTCATACTCTCTGCTTCTCTTCTCATACTGAGGTACTCAATCCTGGCTCTCTCTCTCTCTCTCTCTCTCTCTCTGCTCTTTGGTGTTCTGTTATTTCGGTAGTTCTTTCACGTCCTTTTATTGAGTTCGTGTCCTGTGCCTTCATACATGTCCGATTAAACCACGGATTCCTCTTTCTGCTTCTCATTTTTTAAATTTTTAGGGCCGGGATGAACTTGTTTACTGTCTCTTGATACTTTAGTGTGACGTAATCCATCATATTATGTACAGACTTTACTCTGAGTTCTGTTTCCACGGTATTTCTGTTAGGGATTTTCTCCTCGTAAGTTCCCTTTCGGTGTGCCAGTCCTTTGCTTACTGATAGAATTGATACGTGGTAGAGTGATGGAATTGATACGTGGTAGAGTGATGGAATTGATACGTGGTAGAGTGATGGAATTGATACGTGGTAGAGTGATGGAATTGATACTGATAGAATTCTACGTGGCGGTGGTGGTGCTGTCTGGGCAACACCACGTGTTTAACTAGGGTCATAATTTATTAACCCACTAGGTGCCTGACGTGATGGCCAATGTTAGTGTGTTCACTCGCCTCGGCCACACTCGCCTCGGCCACACTCGCCTCGGCCACACTCGCCTCGGCCACACTCGCCTCGGCCACACTCGCCTCGGCCACACTCGCCTCGGCCACGTTTTAACCATTGATCGTCTTGTTATGATTTCGTGTTCTTTTGTTCTGTCATGTCAACATTTAAATTCAGACGCAAGAACAGTTGGCCACATGACGTGTGACTCAGTCGACGGGTGCAGCGAGTACTCACCTAGTTGAGCTTGCAGGGCCGAGTATCTGGGGACAGATTCACGAAACAGTTACGCAAGTACTTACGAACGTGTACATCTTTTCTCAATCTTTCACGGCTTTGATTACATTTATTAAACAGTTTACAAGCATGAAAAATTCCCAATCAACTGTTGTTATTGTTATAAAAAACCTCTTGGTGCTTCGGAGCTCATCAACTCTAATAATTGTAAACAAAGCCGCCAAAGAGTGAGAAAAGATGTACAGGTTCGTAAGTGCTTGCGTAACTGCTTCGTGAATCTGGCCCCGGTTCTTTAAGCCCGGCTCTTACACTATCGCTGGCTCAATGCTGTAACTTGTTTCCATTTTGTGTTCTTATCATATTTATATTTAAAGTTGCGTATCGCATTGCCTTCGACGACTTTGTCTAGTCCGTTATACGGGGGACATTATATGCTCGCTCTAACGGTTTGACCAGTGTCAAATTTTAAGTGGTTTTGCTTAACGAGAAGCGTAAAAAACAACGTCGATGGTCGTTAGATCTAAGCACCGTCAATAAAGCGGTGCTTTAAATTCAATAAAGCACCAGAATTTTGTTGCCGGGATTGACATCGTCGAATTTACGGTGTATTAAGTGTGAGGACAGGTTGTTCTGGCACACACTTCCTTATCTTGGAATTTGTTCCACACATAGGTGGAATTCATCACATTTCACGCAACGACTTACGAAATCTGTACATCTTTCCTGCATCATCTCGGTTCTGTTTACTGAACAGTTTACGATTGTCAAGTTTCATGGCTCGTAAACCGTTTTAATAAATGTTCAGCAAAGCCGCCACGATTGTTGAAAGATGTACAGGTTTCGCAAGTGGTTGTGTAAAGGTTCTATGAATCCTGGTCCTGGAATGTTATTGTTGCCACACAGACTTCGTGCATCAGTCTCAACGGGCCTACCCTGGCCGTCTCAAGAGGGTAGGCCTGGCCATCTCAAGAGGGTAGGCCTGGCCGTCTCAAGAGGGTAGGCCTGGCCATCTCAAGAGGGTAGGCCTGGCCGTCTCAAGAGGGTAGGCCTGGCCGCTTCATCCTGGCCCGGTACATGCTTTCTTACCAGTATAACAATAACTACTTTATAACTTTGGTAAATATTCGGTTTTCTTTCGTGAGGATTCAGTCCAGGATCCTATTAGGCCACTCAACACCTTCCCTCAGAGCACTTGTTGTATGGTCTCGGGCAGCCTGTTGTTGTTGTTATAGGTCCAGCTACTCGGAACAAGTTCCAAGTAGCACGGGCTATGGTGAGCCCGTAACTTACCTGGCACAGGAGCGGGGCAAATAGCACGGGCAATAGTGAGCCCGTAGTGGACTTACCTGGCACAGGAGCGATGCCGTCTCTCGGGCAGCCATTGAGTCTTGTTTATATATGGTAGAGTTCAGGCGAGGCATCAGCGACCCCCCTAACCCCCCCCCCCCTGGCTGTGACTAGTCTTCCCCGCCATCAATGACTCGATCCCACCCCCATCCCTCTCCCGCACCAGCACCACGCGGCACACACAGTACTGTCTTGACCAATAAATCATTCTTACTTGTGTATACCACGAGTTCCCGGAACTGTGACCCGCGAGGCGCTGCTGTGTGGGTTGTCTCCGCCCCCATCCCACTAAGGGCCTGACGGCTGAGTGGACAGCGTTTCGGATTCGTAGTCCTGAGGTTCCGGATTCGATCCCAGGTGGAGGCGGAAACAAATGGGCAGGGTTACTGTCATCCTGATGCGCCTGTTCACCTAGCAGTAAATAGGTACCTGAGAGTTAGACAGCTGCTACGGGCTGCTTCCTGGGGGTGTGTAACAAAAAGGAGGCCTGGTCCAGGACCGGGCCGCGGGGACGCTGAGCCCCCGAAATCATCTCAAGATAACCTCAAGAAGATACCTCACCCCCTCCCCCCTCCCCGGCTCGTGGTCACACTCGCCTTTCTGGAACAATTTATCACACACCTGTCATTATATCAACAAAATGAAGCAAGTATTACAGTTTTTGTATTTTTTTGGGAATATGACTTATAGGGAGAGTTTTTTTTCAACATTTTCCATGCAAAAATCTGTAGATCTTATGACATTTTACGAAACATTTGATGCTTAAATATTACAAAATTCATGTAAACAGCCTATGAAATAAATTTAGATTAATTTCAAGTCGTCCATTTATTTTACAAAGTGGAGATAAGCACCTTAATTTACGTGGTATTTGTTGAGTAGGATGTTGGTCCCGGGCGTGGGAGGGGACCTGTGTTTGGTCCGGGAGGTTAGTCCAAACACACCATGTATAGTCAAATATTTTATATCACATGGCAAAAACCTTTCGAGGATCTACTTCCGCATTCACACCCAGGGCGAGGCGTCAAGCACAAGCCTCGCCAGGCGTCAAGCACAAGCCTCGCCAGGCGTCAAGCACAAGCCTCGCCAGGCGTCAAGCACAAGCCTCGCCAGGCGTCAAGCACAAGCCTCGCCAGGCGTCAAGCACAAGCCTCGCCAGGCGTCAAGCACAAGCCTCGCCAGGCGTCAAGCACAAGCCTCGCCAGGCGTCAAGCACAAGCCTCGCCAGGCGTCAAGCACAAGCCTCGCCAGGCGTACCTCCGCTTCTTTTCCCGCCAAGAGAGCCGTGTTCACTTACCTTATGTTGTTGTAAACGCTGGGGTGAAGGTTCTTCTTGAGAAAGTATTCCAATTTGTTGTTTCTTGTTTCTTCGCCGCTGTTCATCGTCGCGTGAAACGCTTGGAGTTGGTCACTGGCAGTTTCAACAGTCCATCAACGGCGCCTGGCAACTCGCGACGATGTTGGAAAACACTTCACTTTTTTAATATTTAAACACGTGAGTAACCCGAATACTTCCTTTAGGCTACTGTCTAATTAATGGCCAGGGCGGTTGAAAATGCCGATTTTATTTTTCTACACATGTTGAGACGAGCATAAAATAGTATGTTTGTGTGGTGGGTGGCTTCGAAGTCCTGCAGCAAGTGCTTCATGGAGTGTGAGTGTGTTGCCTCACCCTCTCCTCACACCACACACTAAGCCTCACTCTGTCCACGCACACACTCATTTTATTTCCTGAAACATGAAGGAAAGTTTAAGGGAAAATGACAGGCTGCTGTCTTCATGTACAGATTATTGTATCAATGAATAGGTTATTGTATTAAAAATAGGCTATTGTATCAATGAATACTGTATCATTGAATAGACCTATCGTATCAATGAATAGGCTGTTGTATCAACGAATAGGCTTTTGTATCAATGAATAGGCTATTTTATGAAACAATAGGCTACTGCATCATTGAATAGGCTGTTGTATTAATGAATAGGCTACTTTATGAAATAATAGGCTGTTGTATCAATGAATAGGCTATTTTATGAAATAATAGGCTGTTGTATCAATGAATAGGCTATTGTATTAGTTACATAGGTCCATACTGAGCAATTTACAAATTCACTGATAAAAAAAACATACAAATGCACTGCTTCATGAAGCCCGGGGCTCCAAGATATCAGCTATCTTGGAGCCCCGAGTATGAAGCTCCAGGAGTGTTTAATTAAGATATATTAAGATAGATACTAGGCACAATAAGCCTAGTCAAGAATCCTTATATATACACACACACACATGATATCTTGCCTAAAATAAGAAATAAGAGATTATTTGTCACTCGAGTTAAACAAATGCATATATTTTATATCTTATATACAGCTAAGTTCACAGTATAAGATAGGATAATGTAACTGAAATTATACATACAATGCAGTTAAATATATTTTATTCTATATCCAACTGGTACGGTGCTTAAAGGTTTTAAAAACCGTGCATATTCTAACCTAGCTTTTACATAACCAAGCATAACCTAACATGTTCAAAATATCTAGAAATGATTAGTAATTTATCCTCAAACTAATCACGACTCACGGGAGACATCTCCCGTCAGGCAGGGTGCAGTCGCACCTTCACAGATCTCCAGTATCAGCTCTTGATACTGGTAATGGCTCAAAAGGGCCACCACTTACGGGCTATTCATGCCCGTGCGACCGTTTGGGTGGCTTAATCTTCATCAATCATCAATCTATTCAACTTTCAACTGCAACATTAATAAACATTGAAACGAGTGCAATTTTCTTGCAGACAAGCCTATTTGACCAATATATATATAATTCAAAATAATTTTCAATTCAAATAGACCTATATACACTATCATTGTGTATCTGCATGATTGTAGGATCGGTATGAATCACAGGTTCATTCTAAGCAAGGCAATTTACATCGTAATTTTTAGTTATAAGAAAATAAAGCAAATTATCGAGGTAAAAAATTATTTACGATCATAAGCGACAGGAAATGTGTTTCACTATGGCCGTTCATTCCTTCAGGAAATTAAAATTTATGCGTTCGTTCCTTCAGGAAATTCACTTGTGCGCGTTAGTTTTTTCTGGAAATTCACGTTTGTGTTCGTTCCTTCAGGAAATTCACGTTTATGTGTTCGTTCTTTCTGGAAATTCACATTTATGCATTCGTTCCTTCAGGAAATTTAGTAGTATAAATATTGACTATGGCCGACGTTAGTTAATATTTGGCAAATACACATGATGAATAAGAATGTAATCTTCACAAATATAAATAATATATATATTGGGGTCATGTATAGGTTAGACCTAGGTAAGATTAGGTAAAGTGTGTTGATGTAGGGAGTATTTATAATACAGTTGAATGATTACGGGCTATTCATGCCCGTGCCACCTCTTGGGTGGCTTAATCTTTATCAATCAATCAATCGGTTGAATGATGCACGTTTACAGTTGCAACTTCCAGCAGTCATACCAGCACTTCACAACCCTTAGGAATAATCAAACATACCTTTGACGTCAAGGAAAATAGCTAGTGTGGTTCTGTTTACACTACATCCGAAGCATGGAGACCTCGCCTTCAGAAGAACAAACTGCGTTTGAAAAAGTTAGTCGCAGAGCGCCAAAATTCATCCCAAAAGGCACCTCACATACCAGGAACAGGTGAGGCCTACCACTACTAACCAGACATGAGGGCTTAAGAGACATTTAAAATACTGAACTAACTGTAATATACGAATCCAGACAACTTCTTGAAAGTGTCTGGTGTAACTTGCACAAAGAGGCAACAGCTTCAAGCTCAACAAGCCCCATGTTGGACAGAAAACGGGAGATGCATTTTCACTCAATGGGTTATTAACCCAAGAAACCTCCTACCCGCCGAAACCCTATATACTAAGACCAAACTACAGTTACAAATACAACTGGAAAAATCATCAGGAATAACGAGGAGACCTTTGACTACCTGCAGGCTTACTCTCCCCGTTGAGGCGACTCGAGATGGTAGTCAGCATGTAAATTTTATCCTTTAATAGTGTGGTGAGAGGGAGGGGGTGTAGGGAGAGGGGGAGACGGGGGGGTGTTGGGGGTGAGGGAGGGGAAGGGTGGGGGGGGGGGGTTGGGAGTGTGAGGGAGGCCAGGAATCATGTGATCTGTGATGATAATGGGGGGTAGGGATGGTGAGGGTTCAGAGGAGGGGTATGCATGAGGTGATGGTTATCCTGGTAGTGGGGAGAGGTGAGGGGTGTGAGAGGGTGAGGGGTGTGAGAGGTGAGGGGTGTGAGAGAGCAGGGATGGGTTAATACGGTAGTCTTAACCTTTACCTGGCAGTCCTGCACACGCTGCGCATCACATGTGCGTGCGCGCGCGCGTTCATCAAGTCGTATCTGGAGGTGGGGATGAGCTTCAGCTCTTTGGTCCCGCCTTTCATCCCTTAATTGTCTGGTATATAGGTTCAAGTTACATTTAAACATTTAAAGCTATACAAGTAGTCTGCCTGCCACGTCACTTATCAAAGCATTTCATTTGTACAATGTTCTAACAATTTACACCTTTAAACCAGCCTGTTCTAGCGAACGTTCCTAACATCAAGAAACTGTTGTACTAAAGTGTCTTATCCTAACCTACCGAAGGACCCACGAACAGAAAACGAGACATTATGTCAATTCCACGAGCCGCTAAAAAAATTTTGTATGATAGTTTGGCCTTAAAGTATACGTCAACATGCGAGGTGCTATTAGGCGGACGGGTTGTTTAAACCAACTGCAGCTGTGTCTTGTGTTTAATAAGGTAAGGCCTCCACACTGGTGCAGCGAACTCCAGAATTGGCTTCACACAAATGGTAAACAAGGACTTGAAGGACTTTGTTTAGATTCATAAAGGTAGTTCTTATGTAACCCACACTTGCATAATGCTGCTGTTATTAGGTTGATATTTGCTTCCGGTGACAAGTTCGGGTGTAATATCAACCCTAAAATAATTTTCTTTGGGAATCTATGAAGGTTTTCTCTCCCATATGTTAGTTTGTCGGGGTGTTCAGCCTCAGTGTAATCTTCCATCGTATTTACCCGCCTCAATGTTGGCATCAGCAGCATCCATTGTGTGGAAGAATCTCTCCCTTCTGGCAAGTCTTTCATGTAGAATAGTAATAGGAATGACCCTATTACTGACCCATTTGGGACTCCATTGGTAACATCGATTGTAAGACCTCTCTCATCTCCAGATTACCCAGGAAGGTAATCAAGGTACCTCAAGGTAACCTCAAGGTACCCAGGAAGATGAGACACCAGAGGAACCTGGGGGCGCCACCATCACTCTCCACATGGTGCAGTGCCAGGCTCAGGCGCTACATTATTACGGGAGTGACGGTGTATGGTAAACATGACCACGACACCACACACTCGAGGGCGAGTGATGAGCAACTCTCCACCCAACACTGGTGTCGTCAGTAGACACACACAAGGTGAAGTGTGCGAAGAGTGTCCTCGACGAGAGACAGCAGGATCGATAATGATGGCCACGCCAGCAACGTCTCGTTATCATCCCCCAACACAAGCAGTCCCCCGCCATCACTCGCGCCCCCAAATCTTTCCCGCCAACACGCGCCCCAACCCCCACCACCACCACACAGCCCCTCCCCATCTCACCTCGAGTCTTACAAACAACCTGACATTCCCACACGCTAAAACACTACAATTCACTATATATGAACAACTTATCCAACTAAACGGAGAATAAGCAGTGTCCTACCTGCCCAACCCTGAATGTGTTACGGATTATCGTACCAGAGCAGCTACAGATTATCGTACTATCAACATGACTCTGCCATCAGCCATCACCGAGTCATACTGGCCCATAATCAGCATGAAGAATTGCCTGGGAATATTTTGTGTTAGGATGTATCAATTTATGTAATGATGCCAGGTCTTATCTGCATGCGAGCTACACACGCAATGGTACACAGAGTGTATCTGGCAAGGGAGCTACACGAATAAGGGTACACAGGGTGTATGCGACGGGGGGGGGGGGCTTCACACGTACTCAATGAACCAGAGAAATAGATAAATGTAATAGAAGCGGTGGAGGCAGAATAATTTACAACTACAAATGTCGATATGCTAGTTGAGTGAAGGATAAGAGGTGGAAGCCAAGAGCTACATCAATCGTTGTGCGCGTTTACTGAACTTGATCTGAAGTCGCACTCTCATCGTAGATTACTGTAGAGAGTATTAAGCCACAATGACGTCACAATCACTGTAAACCCCCAATTACCAATCACCAGCAGCAATAATTCGCTAATAGCATTTTACCTCACATAGCCTCACTTTTGTCAAATTACATTCACAACACTTACGGGTAACTAATAACTTACACTACACTACGTAAGTTAACTAATAACTTTTGCAGTGATACATCTCTAACTTATACGCTGCCTCAGAGTTCAGTCTCTCAACCCAAGAGAAGAGAAGGAACAGGGGGGAGACATGATCACTATATATACAGTATACCGGGGAGAATAAACACGGTGGAAAAGGATAACCTTTTCAAAAGTGAGAAAATAGGACAAGAGGTCATAGGTGAAAGCTGGAAACAAATGAGTAAGGACTGCAAGGTACAGGTGGTCAAAAAGTAGAATGTGCAGAAAGAAGTTGTGGAAGCCACCTCCAGTCATAGCTTCGAGGCCACATGCGAAAAAATAACTAATGTCAGCAAAAAAAAAATAA